TCACGGTTATGTGTTGTGTGTCGACGTGTCGTGGTATTGATCAAATAGCATTTAGATCGGATATTATTTTTTTGGTATCATGTGATAATTAAGTTGCAATCGAGTGTACCAAAAATTGACTTCAACTCAACTTTTAAGCCAACATGATTATCAGATGTAATTATATAGTTACCATGCTCTCATCACATCCGATGCAGAACGACACGACAAACGACGTAGCAAGCTGTGAATGCGTTTTAACACTTTTAAGGATAACTTTAGACGAATAATAGATACAATGGAAATAATATATAACGTATACCTATCATTATTCACCTGGCATAGTGGCTTATTCTGTCAACTTATTTAATTCGTTGATTTTTTTTATAAATTTCATTAGGTTTTTTAAGATATGTAATTTGTGACTATCAACACACCTTCCCCTCCTATATTAACCTATAGAAAAATGTAAAATATTCTTATGGTTGTATAGGTACTCGACAACTTGGTATAATTTCAAAAAAAAAAACTTAGTGGGAACATCATTGTTTATACTTCTAATTTATGGCATTTATGCCAATAATTAAAGTTATTAATTCAAGAAAATAATGAATTCTGTAAAATCTAAAATATTTTTAATTACAGATGTTCGAACTAACCATCAATGGAACCCTTGTCTAAGGAATCGCAATTCAACATTTAGCAGTAAAAGAAATACCTCCTACGCGTCAGCTTTAAAGGTAAATTTTCAACATCACTTATTTGTACATTAATAATCAAAAAGTTAATACAATAATATTACAATTGGTAATACTGCAATAGTATAATTTTACTATATATTAGAAAGTAGAAACAAATACCTACATTGAAGTGCATAGAGGTGTTTATATATATAGTACCTATAGCTGTTGTGTAATATCACATTTAAAATATATAAGTATGTATACACATTTATTTATGGGTACCTATAGTTATAATACGAAATCTCAAATCTTAAATAGTTAAATGGTGGCTGTAAAGGATCTGTCAAAATATCTTCTAATTCCTATCGTCTATAAAGATTTTGGTTTTTAAAATGTATTTTAATATTTTAGTAGTCGACAGTCGTAGGTTTACAATATGTGCATAACGCATAGATAGCCACTCCAGTTCTCCTTTATTCTAATTCAAATCGAAACCAAATATTTGTTTTGAAAATTGGTAAATTTACTATACTATATAGGTTAGTGGTTACCCATGATTAAATACGACTAATGTATGGTTACTTTAACAATGGATATCCTTATATAATTATATTATGTTTATTGATTTATTGTTTATGTATATAAACTCTTTAGTATAATGCTCGTATTATGAAACCTTATAAACATTAAAATATTCCTGAAAACCTAAAAAAAAAGTTATTTTCTATTAAAAAATGTACTTATTCTGAAAGCCGTAACTTTGAGAGAGGTTCTGCAATTCCCATCTCGAAATTTTTAAAAGTCRAGTAAGAGTTTTGATTTCTGAATGTAAATTGGTAAACATGGTAAGTGTCCAGATTCCCCAACATTTTTTTTCCAGCAACCACCTTGATGTGTAAATATATAACCTATTTTTTATGTATTGCATTTACATTATGCAGTGATGCTTATAGCCTTTAGGCTAAAATAATACATATTTTATATACTGAGTGTAGTTTATATAAATTAAACGAAACTATTTTTGTTTAGTAAACTATATAAATTTCGATGTCAATTCATTATTTTGTTCAAATGACATCAGAATTACAAAACCCGAAATTAGAAAAAAACGATAGCTCATATAATTTAATACCGAATGTATTGATAAAAAAAATATTAAACGTTTTACAAAAACATAGTACCTACCTATATTATATTGTATGTAAACACTTTTTGAGAAATGTTTATCATAAATTATTATTATATAGATACCAATATATAGTTATGGTAATAGTTGGGTATCCCAGTTAACAGTATTTTATTTGGGCAACAGGGATAAGTGCTCAAAGTATGACATACATCTATGGTATGTGGTTAGGTTTATGGCATTGTCGTGCAGATCTCTTTTTCCATATGGGGCAAAGCTAATTTTTTTACACCCACCAGTCCACCACCCTCCTAAAACTAAAAGTTACAAATAATATATTATGTTTTATTAAGGGCCTCTATACAGTTATACGAAAACACAATATTTATTAAATAAAAAAAAACCCACACCCACCCCACTTGCAAGTGTGTTGCATTTGTGTCTTGTCTGCACGCCACTGGCATTATGGTATACATATACCTAACCTTACTGTAAAACACTTGTTTACAAAAATAACATACCAATGCACTTCTACAATAAAATGTATTAATTATGGGTTTTATGTTGTTGTAGCCGGACGATGTGAAAAGGTTACTGCGGCGGGACAACGGATCGTCCTCGTCGTCGGATATGGTGGCGACGACAGCGGTAACTGAAGAGCATTTGAACGCTATACGCAAGAGACAAGCCCTATTGCTAGTCACCATACAGACGATGAAGCTGTTCCGCCACAACCAAATATTGGAACACAAACTGTCGGCGTTGTACAGGAGGGTGGTGCAGGTTCAGAACAGACAGAGGCAGAGGAACATCAGAACCGCCGCCGCCGAGGAATAGTTGTTYTCAGTTAATCATAATTGTAACTATATAATATGATGAGGAGAAAGAGAAGGAGGTGACTGCGGCCGCTTCGGGCTGATTTTTAGTCCAAATTTCAGTAAAAGAAACACACACACACACACACACACCACTCGCACTTAAGATAAAGAATTATTGTATATATAGGTTGATTATATTATAATATGTACCTATTCATATAAATGTTATTATTAATAGCAGTAAACTTTGTTTATATAAGTATTATAATAATTATAGTTTATGCCGTGTGACGGTGTAAGTATTATATTCTAATTGTGGTCTATATACGAGTACTTAGATATATTTATCTTATATAAACATAGGGTAGAGACAAATGCTGTCAAACACTACTAAACGCGCATACCAGTGATATTTATAACGAACAAATTACATTTTAATTTCTAAATTTMATTTGTATTACTATTTTTATTAATCTAGACTGAACTAAATATGTAATAAACCAAATACCAATGAGCATTTTTAAATTAGGATATTCTGATAGGCGCATGCTATTGAAGACGATGCTACCTCCTAAGATTTACAAGTTAAATTCTAATTTTTAATATTGTATACCTAATGCACCTGTATTACTCTTAAATATTTATAAATAATAATAATAAAAAAAATGGTTGCGAGTATGAAAATTACCTCCAAAGGTTTACAATACGATGCAGATTCATACATAGCAGCCGAGTTGCATTATCCAGAAATACCAAGCAAAGTGTTTTTGTGTATTATTCAATCTAAACAGACCTGAAGTTGTATAACCCTCGTCATTTCATTTTTGTTTTCACTCGCTATTAAGTTGTATTTTTTAATTACTTGATAAAATAATTCTACATTTTAATATTATTTATTGCTCACTACTATTTATTGATAGTTTTTAAAACCGGAATAAATAACATACTATACACACAAGCCCAACTGTACTCTTAAGTATATAGTTCTAAATCATTTGTTAAAACAATTTATTTTTATTATAATATGTAACTGGATTTCAAGTGAAAAATTATAAAAAGGATATGTATAGTAATAATGTTATGATAGGTTATTATTTAGCTAAGCAAAAATTGAGATGTACATAGTATAATTATGTGAATATTTTAAGAAATACCTAATTGTTTTTTTATTAGTTTTAAAATTGTATTACATTTATCAATGCTTACAAAATTTACCAAAAAAACATGTTATACCAATGTGATGCACAGGAAAGTAAGAATGTTGGATGACAATCAAACCAAATTGAGCTACCAAAGAAAAATGTATAATACGAGCACAATGACACCACAGTCAATATAGACTTTAGACAATCATACCTACATCAGTTTCGGACTTGCATATCATCCAAGATTAAATTTGAAGTTGTTTTTCTCTAGTACAGTTCTAATTTACTAGTATAAAAAGCTCGATTGAGGGTAGTTAAAAAGATAATGTAAAATTAATTATTTTTCATTTTGTATTTTCAATGTCTCACTGTAGTTGATATAATTAAGCAAAGTTATGACCTGTCAGCAAATGGTATCATTGTATGTTCTAAATACATTATAATTTATTTTATAATTTAATATTTAATGTTTGTATAATATTATAAAGTTAATGTTACTTAAAACAATAATATTATTGGTAAATTTCTGTGTAATTGAATATGGGAATAACTGATTTAGTATTATTATAATAAGTATGTAAGGATAGAATATTATAAATAAAATAAATAAATTAATAAAACTGTTCCTTGATATATAATTCTAAATAAATGATATTCCACAAACAATAATAAAATAACAATAATATAATTAATATTATTACTTTAAATAATATAAAATGAATGTTTGATTAATTGAGTATTTGAATATCCAGAGTTTTGCAGTAATAACAAAATATGAGTGAAATTTTAATTGGTCTCTGGAGTATAAGAAAATAGTATCAACATCACCCACAAATGAAGTATCACCTGAAAAATTKGTCACATGTATTAATATGATATAGGTAATTTTTTTTTTTAAACAATTTACTAACAAAATTATTTTCAATATTGTATACATATCATTAAATTAGCTAGTTATTATAATTTTTGAATTAATTAAGATGATCATACTGCAGTCAGCATAATACATTTTTTGTTGTGTTAATATTACAGTAAATGTAGTATCTAACATTAAATTATACTTTAACTTAAGTCTTGGTAAGTCTTGAGGTCAAATCTAACTTAAAATATCATTATAAAAAAAAATGGACCAACACAATTCATGATCTTTAAGTTAGATGTTAAGTCAAATAGTCAACTAAAAAGACAATTAGATTCAGCTGAATGCAAGTTTGCTACGTTTATCAGACAGATGCCACACTGCCACTCAATAGTTTTTATTATTTTTACTGTATTAACTTCAAAGTAACGAATATTATCATGAAATTATATTTTAGTTTAAAACGCACATATATTTTAACATACATTTCAGAAAGAAACATGTTTGTATTTYTGTGTTTGCRCGGCAGTGTTAATAATTATGTAAAATTGTTAAGTGTAAATAGAAAATATGAATTAATCAAAGCTGTTTATTATTATTATTGTTKAAAATATATTGTGCTTTTAAACTGCTAATAAAATATATTACATGACAGATAAATAAATTATACTAATTTCAATTCTATATTTACATTTAAATTATTAAAATATCATTTTAGAAATTCAGGTCATGAAGCTAAAAATTATAGGTAGTATCATGTATTCATAATATATCATGTACAATACATGTCACAAATATTTTAGTTTTTTTCAATTATATATAAACTAAAATAAAAAAATCATAAAATCATTACAATGTTAATAATGTTATAATGTTTTATAGATTAATAAAATATATAGTAGTAGATATTGAAAAATACTCACCACATAAACAAATAATATAGTTCTTAATAGTGGATATCGCCGTAAATACATTCCCGTTCTTAAACCAAATGAATCTAGGCTGGAATAAGCACGTTTAACTCCTCTTGCTACACTAGTATCAAATGCTTTCTCTAACATGAAATGAGGCACTTTGGCTTTAGCTAAAATCAAAACCTAAGTTGCATAATCAATATGACAATAATATTAGCTAAAACATTCTTACCATCATCCGTATCATTAACGTTGATAATAATATTTGTTTCTTTTTTCAATCTTGTCTATAATTATTTAAGAATAGTACAAATATAATATTATAAGTTTATTTTCATAAATATTGTTCTTAAATCATACCTCTAGACTCTCAATTCTTATTGCCATTGAATTATTTTCAGCTAATACTTGTTCTAGTTCAGCTTGTTTACAAGCCACAGCCTTTTGAAGTGATAACATTTGTTCATTCATTACACCCTGACTATTACTTATGCCTGCATGATTATTACATATATCATCTGTAAACGATTCTAAATCAATATTTGCAAGCCGTTCTTTGAAACCACTAAGATCGTGCAGAGACTTCTGTAAGCCACAATCAATAAAGAGTAAATTACTCTTCATGACATTTAATTTGTTTAATATGTCTGAACGTTCTAATTCTGAAGTGCTTAAAGTCCTTAAACATTTTTAATAATTATTAAAATAAGATAATAGTGTTGTTGATAATATTACTGACAAAAAATAAAATAATTGTTACCCTTGATCAGCAGCTGCTTGTATATTAACAATTTCTAAATCATTCAAACATTCTTTTAATTTTAGGGCAACATTGTTCAAATTTGTCTTGGTGAATGCAGACATTGTATTGCATTCACTRAATAAGTTTGTTAATATTTCCTTTTTTACAGAGTTTTTATTCTCAAATTGAATATTATTAAATGCCATTTCCAGATTTAATTTTTCTGAGGTTAAATCCTTTATCCTTAATTCGTCTACCTCAATTCTACATAATGTTACAATATTTTAATTTTATTAATCAAATTTAATTTTAAATAA